TCGGAGGCAAAATGAGCAAGAACGCTCATTTGTACATCATTCTAGACAGAAATAAATGACCTTTTTAGAAAGTGAACCATGGATGGGGAAATGTTGACAGTTTTCTCAAAAAAGGCTTGAATTCAAGAAGTTTCAGATTTGCGTGGTTTTTTTTTGAGTTGCAAAATCTACTTGAACATGACGCTGCTTTTTTCGAAGTTTCTCAAGAACCATTCGAGCCACATAATTCGTTTTGGCATCGTTGGATAGAAAATTGAATGGGGGGGGACCCCCATGACCCCCATGCCCCCCCCCTGGATCCGCCCTTGATCTAGACCAAACATGCTACCTGGGCAACCTTACACAAACTTATCCTTATGTTTAATACTAAATAAGATAAATGCTCATGAAAATGGGGGGTTTTATTTGAAAAAATAGATTTTGGGCTGTTTCTTCAATTTTATTTTGAAACCTTTGAATTCTTTTCAAAAGAGATAGAAAGGGAAGAAAATGAGTTTTTCGAGTTCTCGTCGTTAATTAGAATTTATTTCTGACGTTTTTGACACTATTACTTGTATAAACTTTTCACTCGTGCTGGCCAAGGAGGAAATTTATTTCACGACGGCTTGAAAACGCGAAAAAGTCCCCAGTATCAGGCTTTTGCTTGCATACAACTTTATAAAAATGGAATAATTCTGTTTTAATTAATATCCGTTTGCTCGTTCAACGTATTGAGTGGATCATAACATAAGGCACGCGTTAGGTCAAACAGTTAACCAGATTCCACTTGTAGCGTTCGAGAAAAGTCTCTTCAGTGTTTAATTATTACACCTCCTGTATAAGGTGTTCGTCTACATGTCCATCAAGCATTCTAGATTAGAATATTAGGATAATTCAATGCTGGAAGTATGTATAGTAATAGGTAACTTTACAAGCCACAAAAGGAAAAACCACGATTGGAAAGTGCCATAATGAATTTTAAGTGGAGATTTATCTTAAGCTGCCAATAATTACGTATGAGAGGAAAAAGGACCGAGTACTATGACCGTTCCCTCCCATGAATGAAAGAAAAGAAAAGCCAAGACGACGCTGTGTCTAGCAAGCCCTGCCTGGCGACAGCTTGTCTGGTGAGACCAAAGCGAGGTTGACGATTCCTCGCATTCCAGTGCAGTATTTTGGCTGATTATTTGTTTTTTAACTGGTTTGCAAATCATGGATCAGTGCAATGGTGAATGCAATTGAAATTACACCATATGCAGTAAGAATTTGATGGAAATAGTAAAGATAAACAAGTAGGCGAGGGTGTTGAAGACTTGGCTTCACTGGAAACAAACTTGTTTTCCAAACGGATGTCATGCCACCCAGTGTGTTCATTGGAGTGAGTGAGAGTGGCAATAGTGGGCGCCAAACAGTCTCCCTGTACACAACAGAGACGGTATTGGTGGGCATTTCGTTGATGAATTTGGCTTTTACAGTTCGGATACGTCAAGAGGGGGAATTCTCTGAACATCGTGATTGAAAATGGTGGCTACGTAAGCTCGACGTGCTGAAACCTCCGTCATTTTTGTTGCTTTTTGGTGTTTTATTTCATATTTAATTACGATTTCAGTAGTCACACAGTGCAAAAATGGCACACGGACTAAATTCTGTAATCAAACGCGATGTTGGTGCGGTTCAGTGCAAGCCCGAGGGCAAAACGGGCGTCGGATCGCGACGAATTTTTTCGCCGCAGTTCAAATTGCAAGTGCTCGACTCCTATCGGAACGATGGCGATTGTAAAGGGAACCAAAGGGCTACGGCCCGAAAGTACGGAATTCATCGTCGGCAAATTCAAAAATGGCTACAAGTTGAGGGCGCTCTTAGAAGTGGGGTGAGTGGCAAACACCAGTTATCCACACAAACAGTTAAAAGTGAGGTGGCCTTGAACGGCCACAGACAGCGAGACGACGAAAGCAGCGCTCTTCGAAGCGCCAGCTTGGCTAGCGAAGCGCGCGTTCCTGCAATGGAGCCCCCTGCTGGATTTCGGGCGCACCACATGGCGCCTATATGTTCCCCTGACCCCGCCAAACCTATGGACCTGTCGTTCAAGCGGACGGCCACCTCACCGCACGCCTCTCCGTCCGTAGCCGCCTACTTTCCTGTGCTGGGGCCGTCAACAAGTCTGCCTACTTTGCGACAACCTGATGTGTGGGATTTGTCCAAGAAAAGCAATAAGAGGAAAGCGGATACCGTCAGCGCCACCGCTAAACCGGCCAAGTTGTTCAAACCTTATTTGGATGATGACCGGGAGGTCAGTAGCAGCAGCGTCACTTTCGGCAACTCAGTCTCATCAACATCGCTCCCAGTAACACCCCCTCTTATACAAAACATCTACAGTCCCCAGTCTCTGTCTTTATCCAGAAGCTCATTTGAATTATATTATAATAACAACAATATAGTTCAGGATGCTATCAAGTACGAGTGCGAATGTGCTAGTCATGAGCTGAAAGGTCCGGAAACTACACTACTTGGCTCGCCCTATTACACGGACCTCAGTCCCAAGTATCACTTGGAGCGCTACCTTCCCAGCCCCACCTACATCCCTTATGAGGAGCCGCCCGCCTACACCCAGTTGAAGCGCCGAGGATCGTGCGGACTCGATCTCGATTTAAGTGCCATTGATTGTTCTCCAGATTCGTTATGCAAAGGAAACCCGAGGGCTGTTATAATGAAATACAACAGTCCGTCAAGAGACGACTTTAAATGGACACCCCACTATGAGCTAAGACACACTAGTGAGTTGAAAGGGGAAATCAAAGTGGAATATTGAGGCCAAAACATGCATCATCATACAAAAGTACAACAGCAGCAGTTTCTTTTCTAGATCGTTGCTACGGTGTTGCACCGATTTGCTCATTATTAGTTCTAGATGAAGCCTTCATTCACTTTGCTCATTTACAATATAATTAAAAAGAACCCTAAACATATATAGATTTTTCACATACTGCTTGTTGGGTATTACGCCTCAAAAATTGTGTCTTAAAAAAAGACAGACAAATATAAATATAAATCAATCTGTAATAAAAGACGTGAAGAAATTCTGTTTTTTTTGAGGAGAAATACCCAACAAGCAGTTTGTAAAAAAGCCGCCTCAACAACTTATCTACGTATAGATTTGTTACAAAGTTTTAACAGTGTGCCTTTTAGTGATAAGAATTCAATGTGCCAAAATGTTTACACTTAGGCAGCTATGTAATCCTACTTATAAATACCTGATATACTTACGCAATATTTTTGTATTTCTACTTAATAGTGTAAGTACGATTTTCTGTAAACGATGGGCGAGATTTTTTATGGTTCACGCCATTTTTGCCATAGTCCTGTAAATTAGTGGAGCACCGCCAATTTATATTGCAAACCTTTATTTGAGGTTCACTTGATTGTAATTAAAACGGTATGTGATTTAGATTTTAAATTATTTCTAAAAAAAGACGATAAATATAGTTGTATATATTATAAGAAAATTTTCATAATTAACATTTACACTAAAATATATTTTTAATAATGAGGAAATTGTTTTTAATATATTTACTAATTGAGATACAAATGTACATAAATTGAGGAAGAGCTAATGCAGCTGCAAAGTGTCAAAACGTTTATAAATATTGTAATATTTTATATTTGCAAATTTTTTATATATTATTAAAAATAAAAACGTAATACATGAAGCCAATGTGTCTGTTAATTTCGAAATAATTATGACTAATTACTATCTACGTGACAAAAAAATTGTAGGCGAACGCTTGAATTTGCCCTGATAAGATAACCGAGCATTGCTAAACAAACATATGGCACATAATTGCAACAAAGAAAATTTACTCGGGCAATGCGTCACTTTTAAATGTATGCTGAGTGTATTAACGTATTATGAACCTACTCAGCCAACACTACGGAATTATTTTACGAAAAACAGAAAATACCAACTATATTGCAGTGAAAAATAAAGCCTTCTATCGACTGTGGTAAAAGTAATGAATTGGTACTGAGTTGAACATTTTCGCAGTGTGTTAAATTTTCTTTGGTTTTCTGGAAATCGGAACGTTTTGCAAAAAGACCTTTTGTCTTTCAATTTGAACAGACACTTGTAAACTTTTCACTTTATGGTAAATCAGTTCAATTCAACACGCAGCCCAAAAATGCTTCAAAAACTGAAACTATTAAAATATTCTAAGCAGTTTCCCAGTCATGAAAAAACTGAATGGTTTTTTTTGCTACCAAGTTTTCGTGATTTTTTATGTCTCAGGGATACATATTTTCCAATAAAATGACAAATTGAGCTATGGTTATGGGAACGTATGAAACAATATAAACCTTTTTTTTTGTACTAACCATATTTGCAGAAACGGGTGAGCTGCAGAGCTCTAATTGCGATTGCGGGATGGAGCTGTAAATTACGACCTTTTTTATAATAAAAGTAATTTTAGAGATGTTTCTCGTTTTCACGCAAAATGCGAAAATTCAAAATTATTGCGGGTTTTAAAAATCGCTGTTGGTTTTTGGCTCATATTTAGAGAATCGGGTGAGTTGCAAAGCTCTAACTGCCACTGCGGGATAGAGCCGCAAATTACGAACTTTTTTGTACCAACACTAATATTTATTAATATTACAGATTGATCTAGTTTGTTCGGAAAATGCGTGATCAGCATCAGCTTTAAGCGTTGGATACTAATCGTAAGCTATCACCAGACGCTCTGTATATATGAAAGCAAATGTAAAGATATTATTATTTTGGACAGGCTCATTGAATATACCTACATTCAATATATATAATCCAAATTCCATTTGATTCGTCTCTAATCCCAATTAAGTAGATAACTTTTCTGAATTTTCAGACAGGTCACGAAAACAAAGAATCATATTCCAAGTAGCAGACTATAAATAAACTTAACCGGTTGTTTTATTTATTGCAGGATCTTGCGACATCAGAAACAGATTTATCACAGTCAATGTGTATTATCTGTCCATCTCGCGCCATCTCAATGCTTCTCAATCATTAGTTCGCTCCTCCACCATACTATGTAGAATTGGATTGTTATTGTTTCAAGAATAAGGGTCACAGCAAAAACTAGCAGAATAAACAAATTATCAAATATGTGTTTTGATCAAGTGAGAAAATTCAAAAGCTGCACTCATGAAATCAATAGATAAAAATATCAATATTTAGGAAAAATACATTACACTAAAACGATTTCTTTCTTATAATAGTAAAGGGTAATCCAGTTATCAATCAGTCCACATAGAATAAAAATATGTCAAATCTTACTCAAAAGAGTTAGGACTGTTTGAAACTGTTGAGCATTTTGGGCTGTTAAGCCTCAAGTCGGTGAAAAAGTGTAGCTTTTTTAGCTTTAAACTACTTCGCTTTCTTATTAGCCCTGTAGCTTCTGAATTTTAACTAAATTATTACTACACCGCAGGTTTTAAGTCTTTCGACGTTCTCATGTTTACTTGCCACTTTTTTAATCGATCCTCTAAATAAAATTCTGTTTGTTTTCAGCGATATTTGCTCTAGATTTTCCCAAACTTTACAAATACATATAATGCAACAAATGTGCTCTTTGCCAATGACTGCTTTAATAGAAACCATTCGATGAATCTCAAATTAAATAGACTTTGCAAAAGCACTTCCCTAAGCCGGACTAATTTCTTCAAATTATCTATTCCTTATTTCTTTTAGATCTACATTAGTGATGGTCATTGAACATATGTCGATCCACAAATTCAATAAAACCTTTTCACCTTAAAACTAGAAATAATACCCTTGCTTTAAAGCTATTGAATAATTCTGTTTAATTAAATGAATACAAAAGGTACAATGGCTTTGACTTCTTGCATGCAAATACAAACGAAATTGAATCTACAAATCTGCACGAAGTCCAGAATGTATTTTGTTCAAAGTACTTAAGCACCTACACATTAAATGTTATTTAAATTTCTAACAATATCACAATGGACTGTAACTGAAACTTGTCATTAGCACAAACCAAACAAATGGACTTTGAGAGCATACTCTTATTAGATAGATACATGACGGTTATGTTTTCAGACCAGAGAGCTTTGCCGAACTTACATCCGATGAAAACTTTTAAATTGAAACGTACGAAATAAATATTATTTAGTACGTTAGCAAGTTTTATTTATATAATGGGTCTTCGCTTTTACAAGAAAATAATAAGACGTGTCGTGGTCAGCGTAATACTAATAAACTAAGTTTTTTTCTGTAAAATCCAAGAAGCGTTGATGTAAATTCTAATTGCAGTGCATTTTTTCACATTGAGATTAAAAAATATATTCACTTCTGCGTCTTTTCCAAATCTTACAATACAGATTATGTGAACCTTTAAATGTATATATGTTTTCATCCCAACAGCTGCGCTACTCTGTCAGTTTCAAGTCCTCAGGATGTAAATAATTATGGCTATCATCATTTACACAACACATAAATGTAGAAAGTTATCAGGATAACTTAAGTGCTCCGACATCCATTGTAAAGGTGTGTCCAGCGGTACAATCAGTCCATGGATTTTTACAGTTACTAAAAAATATTATTTAAATTTAGTTTTTTTCTTGATTCTTAAAAGTGTTGCTTTGCAATGTAGATGCTCCAATTTAGAAACAATCCATTAACGCTTTTAGGAAACATTTAAAATCCTCGTTTCTGCTTGTTGAAAAAATTAACTGGTGTAAACGGAAATTGCTCAAAAAATATTATTCATCGTGTTGGAGATAAACGGTATGCAAACCGAACAACGTGCTGAAATCAAAACTTACCGTTAGGCTTGTCCGGAAATACTTCCTTTAATAAATGCTGCAGTGTTTTCCGGCTGCCATCTTCAGCTACTGGTTTCACCAATTTTTGCTTATAGCTATCTTCAAGGTAGCATCTAAAGGGAATGTATTTGAAATGGTCGCTTTCTCCTGAAACTTCCATCAGCTTCCTGTTGACGGCCCAAAACTGATCAAATTTATCTGCGGAAAAAAAATGAAATTTAGGCTACACTGTCTAATGAAAAAAAAAAACAAATATTAACGAAGATATTGAAATTATGCTTATAGCGTTATTTAATAATTTTTAAAAAAGTTATTATTAACATAACGGCTGAAGTCTCCAATAATTTTAAAATTATTTTAGTTCAAGTTGCTATTTCTATTAGAACTCAGTCAGTTATTAGGAGGTGAGAAGCGATCTTAGTGTAATAATCGATTCCATAAAAATTTTAAAAACGTCTCGTTATACTCTCACCATTCTGCAGACCCAGCCAAAGTTGAGTGTGGTCCTTTTTCTGCATATTAGTAGCAATTTGGGTTTTATGCTTCAAAACGTCTGCTTCCTTTATGCATGACATGAAGTAGGACTCCACTGTTTCTCTGTAATTTTCAAATTTCCAATTTTAGCATTGAAAAAGCATGAAAGGACTCGCAACATACTTATTACTTAATCTGTAAATTTTTGAATCGGGAAATTTATCGAAATGTACAGAGATAACCCATGGCAAAGCCTCATCTTCACTGTCAATTAAAAGATCGTACAGAAGTCCGATGGGAAGGTGCCATTTCATTGGTTGCCCATTGCATTTGAGCCACATTTCCTGTTCTTGCTTGCCATTCGCAACGTACTTAACAAAGTGTTTTCTTATCTTGTCAGTCACTACGGGAATATTAAGAATTTAATTTTTAGAATTAGTTATATATTTTTTCTGTATGACCACAACTTTGTCTAAAATTTAGTGCCCTTTGCCAGCTTTAAACATTCGTTTGTTTCGTTCGTGCAATTGTGCTTTTGAAAAGTTTGGCTTGCTCATAACGTTGTGGAAACAAATATGCTAATTATTCCTAAAGTGCCTTGAGCCTAAAATCTAAATTGTTCCTTTAGTTGGGCTATTTTCACGGAACAGAAATTTCGATTTTCATCTTTCCATTCTAATTAAAAAAAAACAGAGCAGTAAGTAGACAATTTAACAAATTGTATGTAAAACAGAGTAAACTACAATAATGCATAAATTAACAAACCTAAAGGAAAATAACTCATCCTGGGTACCATCAAATAAAAAGGATCTGGCTGCTGTAATTCCACTACTTCATCTGGATCTAGTTTAAAGCAAACCGGCAATTTTCCCTCCCATACTTCCCTTAATATTTCTCTATCGTTTGCCATAATTCTAGAACATTAATGCTAGGAAATGCTAGAAAAACACAATATGTATTTATTGTTTATATTAATTTCGCATAAACTTAATAAACTCAGGTTATGGATACTGTCAGTCCACAGGAACTTTAGACATAAAGTCCTAGAGTTGAGGGAGATTATCGATAATATTTTGTATAATTTTATTTGATAAAAACTCAAAATTTTTTTGGATGTGCAAAAAAAATATTTATGCAAAAATCTGCAAAAGTTATTTTTTAAACAAATTTGTTATAAACCAACATTCTGTATAATTTGTAAAAATATGCGTTTTTCAAATGTGCTTTAGGGTGCTTAAATATGTCGGGTTTTCGTAATGAAATGTGTAAAAGCATTTATTAAAAAAAACTAATTGCTGAAAACGAATTTGTGTTTATACAGATATTTTTGGTCCATATTTTATTAAAACTGACCGAACCAACTTATCTTCACTTTACATGACAAGGGTGCTGTAAATGTAGAAATAAACATTTCCAACAAAAAAAATAAATACAATTTTGCGCCATGTAAAAAATAGTTTCTTCTTATTACCAGCAACAAAAAATAACTTTGTTTTATCAACTAAAATTACTTCTAGTTTTACTTTAAAGTAGGATTATTATATTGCGCAATCCTCAAAAGCGCGAAAGAATTGTAATTTAATACGTATAATGTATACGTTTTATAAGTAGCTATAGCCATTTTAAATTTAAAAAAAATTCGAAAAGTAAAATTTATCCGAAAATGTTCACATAATGCTAAATTCCAACTAATTTAAACGGCTTTTCAACCGTACAGCTCCTTAAACACTTGCATTATTCCTTTGCTAATTGGCTAAAAATCATTAAATTCTGATAAAACCTAACAACGCAGTTCTTTAGAACAATTTAAGAGACGCTTTATTGAATGTTGTTAAGATATATTCGACCATTTCCGAGATATACACTCAATGAAGTTTCGAAAGCTCCGTAAATGTTCAAATATAAAATCTGAAACTTCTACGAGTCTTTACTTTTAAAATAGGCATTTTTCCCTCTAATGTTCAAAAAATTATGAATTTTCATAAAACCAACGCGGTTTAACATTTTCGATGAAGAAATTATTATTATCTGAATTTCTGAAGACGTTTCTCTGGAAAATTTAAATTGTAATAAAATGACCGCTTTTTATGAGCGCAATCAACAGAGTACAATGATGAAAATATCGTTTAGGCCGATGATAAAACAGTTCAAAAACTTGATCAATTCTCTACCCAACGATGCCGAAACGAATTATGTGGCCCAAATGATACTCGAGAAACTTCGAAAAAGGCAGCGTCATGTTTGAGTCGATTATGCAACTCAAAACAAAACACGCAAATCTAAAACTTCTTGAAATCAAGACCTTTTTCTTATCGATGGTTCACTTCCTAAAAAGGCCATTTAGTTCTCTTTGAAATGATGTAAAAATGAGCGTTCTTGCTCATCAGTAAAGAGATTATTTCCGGTGAATTTCGCTGGTTTCTGCTATGCAATCTGTATCTGGGTTAATTCCTATTGTAACGTTTTTGGAAAATAGCAATTAAAAATATCGCCCAAATAGCAAACAATCCCAGAAATAATCCACCCCTGCAGTATTTTGTATAACACTATTGATCGAGTTTACATCCCTGTTTCGAACACAAGCGCATTAGATTCCTGTTGCATCCAATTCCGCCCGCGTGTGCCCAGAATAAAAAAATATATAGACATAAACAGGCACATATCATCGTACGAGCCCAGAAAAATTAGTGATTTGTGATACATTTATATGTGTAGAATTGAAATTGAACTGAAAATTCGAGTATATTTCACCTGTGGAAGTTCTTGGAAAGCAGGTGTTGTTAAAATGAGCAAGTGTTTTCGAATATAACGAACGGAATAAAATTAATTCGTTTCTATCACATGGTGATAACATTAATCGAAGAAATGTCGTCTATGGACAATCCGCAAAACCCCAATGAGACTCCCAACTTGATTGCTCCTCAAACGCCGGTTTTGAGTGTGGCATGTCGCATTTTAAGATCCCCGAGCCATGAGAGTGTCACCACTGATCTTTCCCTATTTTCTGTGAGTTCTGTTGATTCAACTGGAGGCAGACGATTGCTGAACTTTTCCAAATGTGATAGAGGCCACAGTCCTAATCCGGACAGTAGAAGCCAAAGTAGGTGCGTTCCATAGAGCGACAGTAATTACAATCCGAAGCCAATGCGAAATTTCGGTTTTAGACCGGCCGATATACCGGAAATCCTTTGGTTTGAGGAGGAGACAGAGCTGATACGTAGTTGTGCAGCCTTGTCCTCAGCTGTTGGCCTTCAAAAGAGCTTCAGCACCAGCGATATCAGTCAGCTACCGTCTCCTGATGAAGGTCCAACTTTGCAAGGGCTTCGAAACGCTGTGTCTGACTTAGCTCTCAACTCGCTGCAACGAAGTGGATTTTTATTGGAGCATGCCAGACTTGATCACACATCGAGGTAAGCGGGAATAACCTCGCTGAAAACGTATTGATGAATTTCGAATATTTACATAACTATCTGAAGAGTTTCTTTTATACTGAGCGTAAAAGTGTGCGTTTCTGGCAGGGGGTGCTTAAATATTTAAACAAGGTTGAAGATTTAAAATAGACTAAAGAAAATTGATTTTTATTTTTTTTTCGAAATATCTTAGTTTTATGTTTGGGTTGTTCAAAGTCGATAACTGCCACTAAACGAAATCTGCAAGCGATGTTCTGCAGAAAGAAGCTTTTAAAGACATTCAAGAATTCCAATTGGTTCATTCTCAAATAGTCATCTTCTATCCATTGATTAACTGATATTTTTTTCACTGAGGGTAAGGATGCAAAATATTCCAACATTCGCTCGACTTCGTCTAGATTTTGCTGTTTTTTGGTTTTTTCAAGTTTTTCCCTTCAATAACGTTCGATTCCAAGTTTCAATGCAATAATTAAGAACATCTACAGCTGATAGATTCTTACATCTTCAAGTTCACAGTAGAAACTAAATGTATTTGAGAAAATTTGTTTTTTTAAAGTCTGTTTTTTTTAGATCGTGTTCCACATGGGTAGCAGTTGGTGATATTGCATCAACTTCACAATTACCGTCCCCTCATGGAGGTCAATCGTCCACTACCAATGCCAACACTCAGCCTCTTGCCAGTACTCCTCCTCCTCCTGCTTTTACTCCGGCCGATTTCATCCGATCAGTAAATAAAAAAGTAAGTGTACATTTTATTAGTTCTATATCTTAAATCTGGATGAATGTTAAATATGGATAACCATCATACTATCATGGAAGAAATGAGATGAGATGCAAACAGAGAAAAAAAAGGGCTACATACCATAAGTGACCTACTCGTAGGTATCTGTCGGTTATTAATAATATCTTGGTAAGGAACACACAGTCTTCTCTACAAGCAATTTAGTTAGTTAGTATAATCCAGTAAACTACTCATGTTTCGAGTGTAAAATTCAGAAGCACTTTGGAGATTTATGTGTTTTTACAGGACTTTATATTTAAAGAAAGGCTCTATTTTTTTTTATTTTTTGCTATCTATTCATGCATGTGTTGCTAGCCTGATGATGACTGGTTTATACATTCGAAACATGTTTCATATTTGACCGCTTCGTACTAAATTGCTTCTGAAAACTCGAATTCAATAACTCCCAAGGGAGGAATAATAATTATTTATTTTCCTCAATGTACAGCAAATCTCACGCCAATAAAACAATGAAAGTTTCTGTGTGAAACAAAAAGTAATTCACTATCATAAATGTAAAATAAAATACATTAGAATTAAAATTTTGAAACAAAATAGACGATAGATATCTATCAATATTGCAGTTAATGTCTAACATTGTTAAGTGGCAAGCAAACAGATTTTTTTTCGCAAAACCATGAGTGCTTCAAGATTTTACGAAGAGCACAAAATTGTGAACAAATGATTAGTGCATCAACCTAAAAAAAATGAGTTGATTTCATCCTGCAACTAAAAAGTTCTGGTAGTTTGTGTACCACGACACTCAATAATTCACCACTTGTCCAAAACGGATAAACTCCATTGTTTTATCAAAATATGAGTCTTACATGAGAACAAATTCACAGCGAGTTTCCCCAAAATACATCGGACGATTCTCCCGATATTTCAAAAAAGATACATTTTTTGAAGACCTTTGACCATCAATAGCAGAGGAGTCAGACATTTTTTGTTAATAAAAGTTACGTCAGATCGTCTTCTTTTGATGCAAATAATATCGCAGTCTCCTTTTGATCATGTGCTTGCGGGATACCCTGTATATCGCGTATACAGGGTGTCCCACCAGGAACCGCCGTGGTCGATACCTGGCAAACTATAATTAGGCGAAATTTGAAAATTCAGCAGTGTGGCGAAGTCATTGGGTGCAAGCGAGATAAAATCTTTTCAAGATGGATTCAAAAAATTTGAGTAAAATGAAACAACTTTTGTGTTGCTCACTTTCACAATTTTTTCTGAAATAAACGATCTAGGGGGGATGTCAACTTATGAGAAAACCGCCTGCACCAACCGAGCAACTGTTTCTCCATAGATCCCAGGTTTGGATTAAAATAGGCACGGATTTTCTTTGCCTATTTTTCTCCTTCAGACTCAGACAATTGACGCTGAAAACTGAAAGTTTAATCAAGAAAAATCCTGTGGTTCTTCTAGGTGCGCCAGAATTATATAAGAAGACGATTACTAACCACCTACAAAGCCTTGGAGAGACTGTCCCAAAGCGAATTTAACTTGGACCGTCTTGAAGTAACTCCTTCGACAGCCCAAGCCAGTCTGGATCCTTGTTCGCAAAACGTAATCGTTCCCGGTAAGCGATTTTTAGTACTTTTTATATACATTTTCATTTAAAAATTAAATAAATATTTGAAGGTCCCACAAGACTGACAGTGCCCGGTTCAAGTCCAACACCCAGCAAGAGTCCCACCACTTCGAGTAGCACCAATGCGGCCATGTTAAGAGCCGCTAAATCCAGAGCCGGCAAGAACTTACCGTTGACTATCAGAGATGTGGAAAGGGAGCGAGGAAAGCCACTTTCCAAGTATGAAAGGAACATGATGATATTCAACTGGTTGCACACTCTGGATGACACCGCTTTCGTAGAAGGAGTCCAGTAGGTTGACTTTAAGGTATGTGAATTGCAATTCACGTGCACTTTAACATCATGATATTTGTTAATGCTGTAATAGCTATAGGTGTTGCTATAAGTTGATGAATAATTCTAACCAACCTCAAATCAATGGAGATTAGCAGAATTATTGTTTTTCTTGTTCTTTTGTGCTACATTGGAGCAATGGATTGGGATTTATCTGTCTGAAATTTACATTTAACTTCTGTTCGAATCTGAATCGAACGACGAATAACGGTATTCATTTGCAAGCTAAGCCCAGTTGATGAAGGCTTAATGGTCCGAAACCGGTCCTGGGAGGTAAGTGAAAAACCTGTGCTGGTAAGGCAAGGTGGGGTAAGCGCACCCCCATTTTCAAGGCGAAGTTTTTTTGTTGAATTTGAGGTGTGCAGAAATTGAATATTTATCTGCTGACCATTTATTAACAATGTTTTTAAAATGTCTTCAAGTTTCAAAATTTTCCAGTTTTAGCTAAGTTGCTTTTTCTTCTAAATGCTCAATTTTCTAAAGTTTCACTTAAAAATGCTGATAATCTCAAGGTAGTTTTCCCCGAAAAATTTTGAAAAAAATTTCGAATAATTCGTCGCTTTCTAACAAGTTTTGAAATCTATTTCCAGTTTCGAATTTGGAACAAACATTAAACATTTTTCTACCAAAAAATAAACAAAATAAGCAAAAGTGTATAACAGATTAATGGGAAATCTCGTCACGTCCATTCCTCTGAAGACTGTAGAATTTGTTAGAAAATGGGGTTTTTTAGTTTTGACTGATTTTTTTGCATTACTTTTTTTACTTGACTCAAAAACGGTCTATTTGGTAGAGTTTCACTTAAAAATACTGACGATCTGTAGGACTTTTACGCGAAAAATTACAAGATAAATTTATAGCTCTGTAAAAAATTTACAAAAACTTTTTCAGTGTCGAATTTGGGACAAAAACGAAGATAAATTCCTACCGTTTTTTCCCGAAAACCATTCATGTTTTCTCCAAAACCGACCACAAAAACTAAAAGTTTTTAATCGAAAACGCAAAAAAGCATAATTTTCTTCAGTTTTCAGTCAAAAATTGCAAAATTAATTTTGCTAGAAAATTCTAACGGTTTTTTAGATATGAAAATTCCAGTTTCGAGGCTCGTAAAGCTTTAACAAATGAATTATAACTCATTAAGCAACGAGTTATAACTCGTTAACTCAGAGAGCGGCAACAACTCAACACAGTGTTACCCAGGCCTACGATAAACTGACTAGTTAGTTGCAAGCAATGGCCTTGAAAATCTAACTCTTTTGCTATGAAATGTAGTTTTGTCTATACGAAAAAAAGTCGCCTATTGAGCCTCTACAGCTCTGGTTTCAAACTTATTTATTTCTAAATTAGAGAGCAAACAACTGAAGAAGAAACAGAGCATTTAAATGACGAATGCAGTTTCTTCAAAAAATATTCATATATCCAAGCAAACTCGACTGCGCCCATTGCTTGTAAAATAAATCAAATCTTTGTAATTTTATCCAGTTCGTCATTAATTCAACGCCATTTCTCACGAATAAATTCAATTTCTCAGTATAAAAGCCATTTGAATGACATAATTTAATATGTTTTTATTATATCAGCTTTATTTTATTGAAATTACATGTTAACTATGCCTAAAAGTACATATATAATGTTTAATGTAATTAATGTAACGTAACATTTACATGTTGACTATGATAAGGTACAAAACTTTGAATTAATTTTGCCTTATACTTAAGAAGTGAATTGTGTCCTGTAATTTACGTAGGGATAAATTGCCTAATATTAGTATGAAATATTATATCATTCGAGGGTGCTAAAATGTAATCACATTTGGCCTTAAAAAGTACTACGAGGAAAGCGTACATACTGTTTCTTTAATAAGTTTCCACACTTTGACTGATTAAATACTTCTAAAACCCCCCGTTTTCACAATTGTGAATTGTTTCCGCCGAATATGTTTATCATACTTTGACTGTCTTCACTTACCTGAAAGATGGTTGATTTTCTTGGGAATTCGGTCTGGGCAGTGATGAAGAAGAAAAAGAAAAACTTTTTTAGCTAAAGCTAAAGGTAGCTAAAAAAGTTTTTCTTTTTCTTCTTCACCACTGCCCAGACCAAATTCCCAAGAAAATGAACCATTTTTCAATAATTATTCGATATCGGTCAAGAAACTGGAACTTATCTATCTTCACTTACTGCTTCGACTCTTTGGCAGGAAATACTTGTTATAACTTATCTGTTTAACTCAGTGAATAAAAGTCATAATAATTGAATTTTTTTATTGCAGTCCATTATTTCGTGAATACACAACCCTCAAAATTGGCTTTATTTTGTCACTGTGACAAAATTTGTGCATATTTTAACACCCACTCTTTATATTTGCTCACATCGGTGAAAAGTGCGCGTTTCTGAATATCGCAGCTCTGCTGATTATTTTGCAGGAAGGAATGAGCTAGACTAACAATGCCTAGCAGGTAATACCGATTGTTAGAGGCTCTAAATACCAAACCTCCTCCACTGTCTCCTCTACACACACTCATATCTAAAAGGGAGAATCAGCTTAAAATCATTGTCGGTACATAGATTTTAGAAGTTATTACTTTTATTTACATAGCCGGCGCAGAGCTTGTCGGAAAGTAAATATTTCTGAGCAAAATCAGGACTCAATTCAGTGCGACACTGTTCATTGGATACATAGGGGAGATCGATTTCCTGTAAAACTGTGGATGGTTTTCCACTACTTGTAGTATATCCCCAGCCAGCAACCTAAAATAAATCGTTTAAAGTATTATACAATGGATTGTTTAAATGCTTGAGAGTTGAACAGTTGAAGTTCGATAATTTGGAAAAAAAAATGATTTAAGTTTTAAACAGTTTTTCTTTTTGCAAAAACAATACTATTTATAATACTTATTAGCAGACTTAAGTTTGAACTTAATATTTTTTTACTCTGAAGAATAAATCGAAGTTTCAATTTAAAGCACTTATTGAAAATTTTCAAAATAAAATGAAACTTTGCTAATTTACAGGATGGTATATGTTGCTCGTCATTTAGTTTCATCGGTGAAAGGGCATCAAAAGTAAAGTTTCAACTTTCATTTTAAAACTTTTCTTGCAGATGTTTCCTCTGACAGGAATACAGGGAACCGAAATGTGTTTATTCTTTTAAAATATATTGTTGCGCTTCAGGATGGCGCAAAAAAGGAAGAAATTCTCCCAGTTAACGCGCCCCACTGATGTTGAACTGAAAAACCAGTTCGCGCTGCTTATATAGTATTTGTGTACAAAATTTGACGCTACTGAAATAATTATTATAAAAAATGATTTGTTTCCAAACTTTGGCACCCTGTATTTCTGCGAGCAAAGTTTTTTAAAGAAAAAAATTTCAGCAATAGCGGCCTTCTAGTCAAATGATAGTTACATTGAAAAAGCACACTTGGTTTTACTCTAGCAAGTGCTCCACTTGCACTAAATTGAAAGAGATGCTCAATATTTTTCGTCTTCTACAAGTCGAGTGTGGACTCGGAAGATAAATTTCAAAAATGCCTCAAACTTTAATAATTTAAAATTGTTAATGATACAATATATTAGTGTTTTTTTTTGCTATATAAGTTTAATGCGTTTTTAACTCTTGTTAAGAAAACGAAATTGTTCTACTATGGCCTTTTTGTTCCCCTCAGCAATTCTTCAATTATTTGACTAAACTAAAAAAATATCTAAGTACTTTAAGGCGTTTAAAAGGTATTTTGAAGGTAAAAATGACTATACTGACTGCTGCGACGCTGTTTGAAGTCAGAAGTTGCTCATTAGAAAACGTGCAGACTGGCTGAACCACTTTGGATAGCGCAAAGCTGGTTACCAATTTAATTAAAGCAATATCGCCTCGGAAATTTTGTATGTCTCCCAGATAATCATCTTGAACCACAATTTGTTTAACCTGAAACAGAAAATATGTTTAAACTTTTCAAAGGACAATTTCATTACAACGTATATACTATAATTCTGACGAACCATTCGTGCAAATTCGTACGAATGATTTCGGATCTAATGGACGAACTTCTATACATTGCAATTAAATTGGACCATTCGCACGATTTCTGACGAAAGCAGTTCGGGAGTTCGGAGGAAAACGCATCCAAAAGGCACCGGCCTACGGACTACACACTATATTCACACGAACGGAACGCAGTCTACACACTATTATAACAATTCGCGACAATAGGCGACCGGCCTAATGAAACCATTCCAATCCATTCACACCCTGCCATAAGAAGTTATCACTTTTTTCCCATATGGTGCGAACTTAAGTAGAACCCACTGTATAATGAGTATCTTTGAGATGACTCTATATTGCATTGAAAGGAGGCGAATTCTAAGAGTTGCGTTTTGTTTTTCAGATAATGTTCTACTTTTTGCTGTAAAAATGCATCTTTCAGAATTGCTCAATACCCTCCATCATTCTAGCTAACAAATTAAATTTACGTTACACGACTTACCGCTGAAACTTGTGTGGTGTCCATATCTTTTACATCTCCATATGCATTGTAATATTTTCCGGCTGCCACTTTAAAAAACTTTTTATTGATCGGTTTTCCTGTGGCTTGATATGTCACACAATGTGCAGCTGAAATTTGGGCTCAATTATTCATCAGTATATCCTGCTTTTACTTGCCATTTAATATTAATTGTCTTTTCACATGGATTAATTTTTTAAAACCTTCCTATTCAGCTGCCTATAGATTTAATTAGCTGTGCTAGATATTAATACTTCTTATAAATCACCAATGAGGAGTTTATTGGAAATTTTAAAGGTGGAAATGTTTTAAGATTCTACACAAAAATTTAAGTGCACAATTCTCGATTAATTTTGGAATATGTAAAACAGAATGGTAAAAGTGCTGACCATGAGCTGTGCACTTGGAGAAATTGCTTTTTAGGTCGCTTTGTTTTGATGTTTTAAAATTCCAATTGGTAAATAAGAGCGGTTTTATGAAAGTGGAATGCATTTAGTCATCTAATTATCTGACTATAAACTTTAACACAAAGTCAACAACAGTTGTTTATTAGTTTTACGTTACTTCCCATCGGAGTCTAGAAATTAAAAGCTGGTTGTTTCATTTAAATTATAATTTGGAATTTTTTTTCTTCCTATCATAAAAACATTATTGTGGTGAAAATATCAACAAAGGGGCCCAAGTGGTTGTTTTCCAGACAAGCAAACATTCAGTAAAGCCTTTATAACTCTTCGATTAATACATATTAATACACTTAGGCTACGTTCCTAAAACGAACTTGTGAAAGAGCAAAAATAATCCTGAAGAATGTATGTCCTTCTCGGTCAAAGGAAGACGTTTACGCAAGACACATTGTAAGAAAATGACCTGTGCCCATCATTTCCAACCAGTTACTCATATAGTTCGTATTTATAAATAAAAGAAGAACGATCACATTGATAGTCTTCCAAGAACCTTTTTTCCGGTGAATCTACATGTACAAGACATGTAATTAGCAATTTTCAAAATGATCTTCGGTGATCTATCGAAAACCTTCAAGCTCTCCAAGAAACCCATCTTCACAGGAAATTTTCCATACAGTTACATACAGGACTGGAATACTCAATAATGAAGTTATTCGACCATGTTGCTTTGAAGGTAATTTAAACATTAACATTCAAGCGTTTTTAGAGAACGCTTTACTTCCACGCTTGAAGACATTTCTATCCAAATCAGAAAAACGATAGTCTTTTTTTTTGGGCTCTCTCGATTTTGGACGAGTTGATAGGAGATTCTAAACAAATACCTGTAAGCACTATAGATGTAGACAATAGTGATCCACCACATATATTCGTGTAACTTCCCGATTCCCTGTTACTGAAGAGGGCGGCTACCCATGGATATTGGCCTCTTTTTACCGGGGCGCCTCCAACCACCAACGTTTGGGCTTCAACTTGTTTTTGCCCGCAAACTATTTAAAAAATAATTATTATTATTCAAATGCCTAATAAGTGGGTGCGAAAAAGCCTGGATTAAAGTGTTTATATTTCATACTTGGTTGGCATTTTGGATTGTCGTAGTACCACACCCCATCTCCACAAGTATTAATGGTATTCAATCCAATAATAGTTGGTTCATAATAAGGATTACACGTGAAAGTCATTGTGGTTCCAAAAGTGGCCATTTCACAAGGAACAATGGATCCGTCCAGCTTGCAACTGATAATCGCGTTGTTTCCATTGTACATTTTGGGGCACAGCCCTAAAAGACACCAAGTAGCGAATAAAACCAACATTTCCAAACGTACTTTGGCACTTGGGAAACACGGTAAAGCTCCATTGAGCATCGTTTCTGCAATAAACGAACTCTTCGGATTTTGTGGTGGTTGATAGCTTGTACTTATCATTGCAGGTAAATTTCAGCGTGGTCTTCAGGGGAACCTGTATATTTGGCACCTCTTGCACTCCCTCATTTAAGAAGTTAATCCATTTTCCATTTTCAGGCTGAGGAGGCGTGATACAGTGCGCCCTAAAAACTCTGTAGATTTTCCTCTCCCTTATCTCTTGCCCATTATTAGATCTCACCCAGAAATGTTCGTTGTAACCGGAGTTTCAGTGGTAGTTGGTGGAGTTTGCGTGCACTTGTCTTCATCTGAACCGTCTGCACATTCGCGATAGCCGTTACATCTACAGAAAAAACTCCCATCGATTGACTTTCACTAAATAAAAAACCCTTCATACTCTGCATCGCCATTAACACAAGCTCCATATTTGCATTTGAACGTATATCCAGGACATTCGGTGTTCAAGCACAACGTCTCAGTTTCATCGCTTTTGTCCTTGCATTCGATGGCACCGTTGCATCGGCCATCTATTTCAATGCATTGTCCATTGGTGCATTCAAACTGGTCAGATCTGCAAACGCTCCAAAGCAATTGGTTGGGCCATCATTTGCCTGAAAGTTACCTGCAGTTGGTGTTGATTTTTTGAAATAATGGTGGACAACCGATTTCATCTGAATTATCCTTGCAGTCCTTCTTGCCATCGCATCTTTGATCAAAACTGATACAGGCACCGTATTCACATTGGAAAAGAAACCCTGGACAACTGAGGTTTGCTTCATTTTAGATCGGAATCTTTGGGTGAGGGTTTTATTTAATACTCACACGATTGATTGGCACAGCGACTGTTTTTCATCGCTTCCATCTGGACAGTCGTCCTTTCCATCGCACTGTTTGTCGCTGTCGATGCATTCCGGATTGGTTTCGCATTGGAATTTTGAAAAATCGCTGAAGAACTTGTATTAATGGAAAACGATCTGCAGAGATCTAACGACTTACCCTTTGCATGCGGATTGTCGTCTTACCCTTTTTAATGTGCTGTTCTCATATGTTGAGCGATAGGGGTGATGAGGATCTCTGGAGGTGGCACACTGGCAAAATGTGCCTAAGCAGAATAGTTAGATAAAGCAACAGAAATGCAAAAACATGGTGGTTTCTAATGATGGCAAAATTAATTAATTGAGAAATTTTCTTGAGAAAATAGTGCTGGTTGGCACCATTAGTGCAATTGCGATGTTATAAGAAATGGAAAACAAACAAAAAGATGAATCGCGGTTGTTTTCAAAGTATTTATGGTAGAAAAAAATTATGATTAAATTGAAAATTTAGAAAATTCTGTTAATATTTGTTAGAGTCTGCAGTGAGAGGGCGTCAGGACGATCTCGGCTATTTTTTAGGCAAAAATTTGATTTTTTACTGTCTTCATATTTTATTTCAAAAGTTCCCTTGAGTTTTGCTTCGTTTGCTGCACGGAACTGCAAGTTAGAAATGTATTCACTTTTCCGGATTGAGTTTGAACAACTTTTCAGAAATTGATAACTGATCTTAATTTGCACAAAAAGCAGTAGATTTAACCATTCTTCAGATAAAAATTTGGTATTAAAACCCACCGGTAAAGAAATTAAAATATAATTTTTCGGGCTTAGTATTTTGGGGTCGACATTATTAATTAACAAACGGTATTATTTATATCAGGTACACATAAACATTTTATCTGAATATCAATATTTCGATAAATAATTCATAGTTTCAACTATATGAAAGTTAATTTCTTCATTTAAAACAAAGTAAAATGGGTGAATAGGTACATATATTTTTTATTACCAATCAATAATACTTTGAAATGCGAAATTTCCGATGTAAAACCTTTAATTCGCATTTGCAAATTTATTGTAATTGTGTACTTTTTCCATATAGATAAATGTGTCTATATTTTTTAAACCACTCTATTACACTACTACTATGTTCCTTCAATTTAGGGAGACATACAAGAATTGGCAGGTCGGTCTGGGAACTATGGTCAGTGTATACATAAGAAAACATTAACAATTATTTTATTATTGTAATAAAACTTACTTATTAACATTAACAACGCCGAACACCAAACAGTTATTTCCATTGTTTAAATAATCGTCACCATTTGCACATATAATTGAAAATAAATTTTCGCGTTCATTCAATACTGCTGATATCAATTAATTTCAATAACAAATTTAAGTAAGACACAAACAACGAGCACCAAGTCTGTTCAACCATGAACTGTTGGCACGAATTGTTAATTAGATGGCTAAAGAAGATTGGATGGATTCGACTCGTTGAGCAAAATCTTCACCAATAAAGCAAAGTTTGTTGGAATTTCAAGTTATTAGTAAACCGGAATTTCCATCATACAAGTACACGGAGAAAACACTAGATGGAATCCAACAAATGTATTTAATGAATTGTTGAATGGTACCAAAAAAGGCATTGTGGGATTGCACGCAATGAAGATGCGGCTTGATGCGGAAAATCCAATAGAACGCCCTAAAGTGGATGTAAAATCCTCCTGTTTTCTTTGCATCTTTGTCTCTTAAATAAATCTTATGGTGTACAATCTTTCCAAGTTCAACCAGTTTATAACACCTTTAAAATTGTGTTTATTAGGACTGGAATGAATCGAAGAAGCGTAGGTAGATTACAGATAATTTTAAAAATAGCCATCTGCTTTTAGAACCAGAATATAAAAAACATAATTGTCGTGATTTACACTTTTGGGGCTTTCAATACTGTTCGTGCTGAATAGGAAAAACATGTTGCAAAGTGCGACATTTACTAAATAAAAAATATATATATTATTTTTGTTACGTGCGAACTTTTATATCAATACCCCGGACCAAAAATAAGCATAGTTGTTTAAATGTGTAATAATGGAATTCCTGATAATTTCGGGATAACTTGGGATAAATTGCATTTGTTTATCTTGCTTTGAGATTTTTTTCTCTAATTTTTTTAATAGTGGATTCTGGTTTAAACGCAACGATCTAAAACATTTTTACATTTTATATAAAATTTACTTAATCAATGTTTAAAACGTTTTAAACAAATCAGTTATAAGATGCATTTAGCTGAATGACTGTTAAACTGGGTTTGCATTAATTCCCGCCAATGACGTCAAAAATATGTGAAATTTAAAAGATGTCTTTAATGGCAAGCTTTTGCGATTATTGCTCTTTAATATTTACTGTTGCTGGTTGGAATCAGCCAGTTGGTTTAAGTTTAGTTTTTTCTTAAATTTAGATCTCAAGTTCGTTGGATGGGCAGCAAATCATATCGCTATCGTTACTCGTCCTCATCCCTAGCTTGTCTCTCTGTCTGTGACTGAAGGGAAAATCCGTCAACATGACAGACATTAAGACGTTAAGTTTGGTTATGATGCTATAAATATAAATAAATATCTAAAATTCTAAATTATACGGTGCAAGTTGAATACATTAATTAATTGCTAAAACAGGTAAGTAACAACATCTCTCAATTAGTCGCCATTATTAATAAGTTGCGTGATGTTTCTGAGTATACAACCATGCTTCCATTCAATATATCTACAATATACACGTTACATGTCTTTTAGATGCATATATATTTTTATACATTTCTTTGATGTGCGTTAGGAAGTTTAAAGTTATTTACTTAAGTCAGGAATTCACTTAGGTATATAATGGCTACTCTACTAATTATAATAATTAATATAATACTTATATTAAAATGCAAGCTTCATTAAATACATTAATTGTTGCTTTACTTGCTCTTCCATAGAGTGTGATTTTGTTTTTAATAATAATAATAAATAAAATAGAAATGGTAGACAATTAATCAGCCGGTTTTGATAGGAAACTATAATATTTTATGTTATGAAGTTTCCTATTTCTGAAATCTACAAACGATATATTGTAGGATAAGTAGAAAAGACTAAAGACACTTTTAGTTATGAGTGCTTCTGACAAAGGGTAAATGGAATATTTTCCATAATCGGCTCAAAAATCAATCTCCCCAGTTACGTTTTTTTTGGCACTGTTCTATCAAAAACAGGTTAAAAAAATGGTGTGCGTCACGGGACGCTCGACAGAAGTGATAACTTCATAAATCAATAGAAACCATAAAATATTGAACTTGTTTAACGCATGATGGCAATAATAATTTTATTTTATAGTTTTAATATTATCCTTGGTTTATTAATTTATAAATAGATCAGGAATAGGTAAAATGTAATTTAATTTTCTTCTGAAAGTAAAATATATTTTATTTGCAACATTTGCTTGCATTGCAAAGAAGCAAAAAGACAACGGCACGCGGTGTTCCCAAGCGGTCAGCCCATCCAACCGCGCCCGACGTTGCTTAACCTCGGTGATCGGACGAAAACCGGTATTATTCAACGTGGTATGGTCGTTGCCTAAAAATATATGCTCAAACGCGGGTTTTATACGTTCAGTATTTAGGCTCTGGTTAATATTCTTCAAAAAGAGGTTCTACATATTGCTCTTCTTGGGTTTGTGTAAACTCTTCTTTTTCTTGAGTTTCTGTATTTTTTGTCGTAATTTCTTATTTGCTTTGTATGTATATATATGTATGAATGCTCATTTTTAAGCACGAAATCGTTTTTGGCGTTAAAAGCTTTACTTAATACTTTTCGCTGCTTCAACTTGTATCTGGATCGAACTAAAAAATCAATTAATTTTGGTGATTTGAAGACGTTCTATCTGTTTAAAATATACGGTAAAACGAGGAAGAGCTATAGAGACAGGATTCACTTGACACACTATATGTATACATAATGTAAACGATCGCGCGTATGTTCCAAAAAAAAATTCTAACTGAACTAATCCAAGGCTAAAAACATTAAACTCAATTGAGTAGATTTAATCCTAAAGGAATCAAAGGGTATATGAGGGGAAAAATCCATTTTGAAGTGTGGTAAACACAATTAATCATAGAAATAATATAGTGAATTGAAAATAAGCCCTAATAAATTCGTTTTACATATTTTGCAACTATAAGCTGAAGAGAGATTCGTATCGTCTTAACATCAAGAATGCGTTGCGTGA